AGAGCTACCGTGTGAACACGAGAAAACCCGGAGCACAACGAGGCACGCAGCACTGTTACCCTACCCTACCCTTGGACTTCCAGCAGGCATGCGTGAGCGTGTTTGATAGGAGTGAATGGAGACAAATGGTTTTTAATACTTGACGTGCTGTTGGAGTGTGAGCAAAGTAACATTTATGAAGGAGTTCAGGGAAACCGGCAGGCCGGACTTGAGTCCTGGAGATGGGAAGTACAGTGCCTGCACTCTGAAGGAGGGGTGTTAATGTTGCAGTTTAAAAACTGTAGTGTAAAGCGCCCTTCTGGCAAGACAGTGATGGAGTGAATGATGGTGAAAGTTTTTCTTTTTCGGGCCACCCTGCCTTGGTGGGAATCGGCCAGTGTGATAATAAAAATAAAAAAATAATAATTCAGGAAAACAGGGTAGCTGGACTTGGGTCCTGGAGGTGGGAAGTACAGGGCTTGCACTCTAAAGGGTGGGAATATTTTCTGTCTAGAGGGACATCTGAACTGTAGTATCTGCATGCCTCTGGCAAGACAGTGCTAGTAGGAGTGATGGTGAAAGTGTTTCTTTTTTGGATCACGCTGCCTCATTGGGAGATGGCCAATGTGTTAAAAAAATATATATATTAAAAAAGTGAGTTACAATTGCAGTACTTTAGGTTTCAGGTGCAACAGGAAATTGTTGTAAATACAATAGTTATGAGCCACAAAAAGTACTTTCAGATTTTTTCTACTAGTAATCCGATACTCAGGAGTAAGTCAACTAGTATGGGCCAATAGAAATCAGCCACACTGCTTAGTTTTCTTGGGTTGCCCTGGGTTATTAACTCCTTGTGGTTACTAACTGGATGCAGTTATAAAAATGCTAGACCTGCTTTACACAACATTGGAAAATAAGGAATATCCGCTAGGAATTTTTATTGACCTGAGAAAAGCGTTGACACAGTAACCATGGCATCCCACCCAAACTTGACCCTAGGAAAAAGAGGCCTGCGCGCATATTTTAAATCCCACCCTTCAATGGTACAGTAGTCACCATAAAGACACAGCCTCATCAATACAGCCCCTTGATAGGATTCCGCATGGGAAGTCCTTGGGCCCCCGCTCTTCCCATTTACATCAAGATCTTCCAAACATATCCCAAAACCTGAAACCCCTTTTCTTTTCTGACGAACGACTTTGTCTCTCCCCCCCTAATCTTGCCCCTCCAACACCATTGTTAAAGAGGAGCTGCTCAAAAAATCGACCTGGATGACAGCCCCAAAAAACTTTTCACTTAACACTGGCAAAACCCACAAATTTTGTTTGGTAGCAGAGCAGGGGTTGGAACTTAACATTAAGATCAAAACACTCTAATTCCCGACATAATAGGGCAAAACCTTGGCCATACCTCACAACAACCCAAATTTTTGCCCCATATCCAACACATAAAAAAAAAATTAACCAAAACGGGGGGGATCCCTCCAAGATACGAACACATCCCCAAAATGCCCCTTTTCACACAACCATTTCCTTATATATCCATACCCACTAAGCATCTATGCTTGGGGGTTTAAATGCAGCAACACACCAAAAACCATAATAACCAACAAAAAGCCCCCTAAGAAAATCACTAAATCCCCCTCCCACAACACAACCCCCCCCTCTTTTAGATCAAAATTACTCCCTCCAAACTCACACTTACACTGTGCAATTATATTACAGGGCCCTTAAATTCCAATATTAACCTTGATCTAAAACGCTTTCTTGATAGTTGTGACAGGATCCACAGGCATAACACCAGACACAAACATCTCTATGACATTCCCCGTGTTCGACTGAACCTTTACAAAAATTCAATGTATTTCAAAGGACCTAAAATCAGGAACACCCTACCTGAAAACTCTAAAACTGCAGACACATTCATCACTTTCAAAACTACAGTTCAAATTCAAATTCAAATTCAAAGTTCATTCTCTATAAGGATTACAATGCTGAGTTTACAGAATTTGGTTATTGTGTGGTTTACATGTAGTAAAATACTAATTACAGAGGGGGCCACTAGAACACCTAGCATGGCTAGGCATTTCGGGCAGACTTAGATTAATTCTTAATTTTAAAATATTACAAATTATGAGGTAAGTTGGTATTATGGCTAAGTGACTAAATACTAGTTTGTGAGTTTAGCAATGTGAATGCTTTTGTTTTGGCACAATACATAGTTTCAATATTGGAGTATCACAGGCCAACTTATGACTAGTTTGGATTCATTATTTTAAGATTGAGATTGATATTTCTGTTTATGGTCAAATGGGTGAGTGTAAGTGTGAACCACCAGGTGGTATTCGTGTAATTAGTTGACAGGGTGTATCAGGGAGATAAGATGTTTTCTAATGGTAGTTTTGAAAGTGATGAATGTGTCTGCAGTTCTAGAGTTTTCAGGTAGGGTGTTTCAGATTTTAGGGCCTTTGACATACACTGAATTTTTGTAAAAGTTTAGTCGGACACAGGGAATGTCATAGAGATGTTTGTGTCTGGTGTTATGCCTGTGGGTCCTGTCACAACTATCAAGAAAGCATTTTAGGTCAAGGTTAATATTGGAATTTAAGGTCCTGTAGATGTAGATTGCACAGTAGTAAGTGTGGATGTATTGAACAGGGAGTAAGTTTAGATCTATGAAGAGTAGGGGGGGGGGGGGTGTTGCCAGGGATGGGATTTAGTGATTATTCTTACTGCAGCTTTTTGTTGGGTTATTATTGGCGTTAGGTGTGTTGCTGCAGTTGATCCCCAAGCACAAATAGCATAGGTGAGGTGTGGAAAAATAAGTGAGTGGTATAGTGTGAGAAGGGCATTTTGCGGCACGTAGTATCGTATCTTGGAGAGGATCCCCACCGTTTTGGATACTTTTTTGGTTATGTGTTGGATATGGGTGCTGAAATTCAGGTTGTTGTTGAGGTATAGGCCTAGGAATTTACCCTCATTATGTCTGGCAATTAGAGTGTTGTCGATCTTAATGTTAATTTGCGCAACTCCTGCTCTGCTACCAAACATAATATAGTAGGTTTTGTCAGTGTTAAGCGTAAGTTTACTGGCTGTCATCCAAGTCGATATTTTAATCAGCTCCTCGTTAACAATGGTGCTGAAGGTGGCAAGATTAGGGTGAGAGATGACATAAGTCGTGTCGTCAGCAAAGAGAATGGGGTTCAGGTGTTGGGATATGTTTGGAAGATCATTGATGTATATGAGGAAGAGCAGGGGACCAAGGACAGTTCGCTGCGGAACTCCAGTATCAAGTGGCCGTGTTGTTGATGCTGTGTCTTTAATGGTGACATACTGATACCTATTAGTAAGGTAAGATTTGAAATATGCAAGCGCATGGCCTCTTATACCATAATGGTCAAGTTTGTGGAGTAGGATGCCGTGGTCTACTGTGTCAGAAGCTTTTCTTAGGTCAATAAAAATTCCTAGCGGATATTCCTTATTTTCCAATGCTGTGTAAAGCAGATCTAGCATTTTTATAATTGCATCATTAGTGCTTTTATTTTTTCTGAATCCAAATTGGCAAGGGTTGCCGTTATAAATGAATATAGTCTCCCGTGCACGAGTTTCTCAAAGATTTTGGATAGCAATGGTAAGTTTAATATTGCCTATAGTTTGTTTAATCTGTAGGTCCACCACTTATGTATTGGTGTAACCCTTGTTTCTTTGAGTAGTTTTCGGGTAAGTGCCAAGTTTCTAGTGACTTTTAAAAAGTAATGAAATAGCCATGCGAAAGGACATGGCGCTTACTTGACGATTATGTGGGCTTGAGCCTATTTCCCGATTATTTTTAAGTTTACTTTATAACTCATCGTACTTCTTTGGACTCATTTGTACAAGGGTAGAAGAATTTGGGAAATTCCATCTAGGTAGTCCCTGCATGGCATTGGAATGGTAATTTATTTCCTTTGCGAGATTAGAACTATGGTTGAGAAGAAGTCGTTACTTGTTAGCTAATGTCAGTGGATGCGTGGTGTTTCATTAGTTATTTAGGACATATTATATTGTTTTTTTTCATTTTTGGGTCCATAGAATCTGAGAGAGAGTGTTTTCCAAAGTCTTTTTTATATCTCCTTTGTGTCAGTGAATCTGCTGAGTAGTATAGGTTGTTTGGCTTTCTTTATTACTTTGGTGAGAACTGATGAATAGTGTTTAAGAATTCTTTGTGTTTTAAGCCCTGTCTATATTGCTTTTCATATTGATGCTTCTATCAATGGATTTCAAATGGTGCTGGTTAGCCATGGGCAACCAAGCCGTTTGTTCGTGATCTGTTTCGTTTTTATAGGACAGTGTTTGTTGTATAGTCTAAGTAATTTGTTAAGAAAAATGTCTGTCCAGTCATCAGTACCACTGGCCTTGGAGAATTCTGTAGGCCAGTCAACAGTCTCTAGGTCAGCTGTGAAATTCCTTACTGAGGCCTCGTCATGGAGTCTAAATGAAACTTAGAAAACATCTTATCTCCCTGATACATCCTGACAACTAACTACATGATAACCACCTGGTGGTTCACAATTACACTCACTCACCCACTGACTATAAACCCAGAAATACTAATCTTAATCTTTAAATAATAAATCCTAACTAGTCATAAGTTTGCCTATGATACTCCAATATAGACACTTTGTATTGTGCCAAAACAAAAGCATTCACATTGCTAAACTCACAAATTATGATGTAGTCACTTAGCCTTAATACCATAATCTTTAAGGATTTAATGTTAAGAATTAATCTAAGTCTGCCCAAAATGCCTAGCCATGCTAGGTGTCCTAGTGGCCCCCTCTGTAATTAGTATTTTATAACATGTAAACCACACAATACCCAAAACCTGTAAACCCCACATTGTAACCCTTTTAGAGAATAAACTTGAATTGAATTGAATTTTTCCAAGTGGCACTACAATTTGTGTTTTATCTTCTTTCAACTAAAACAAAATAAAAGAGATTTAGAGTTTGTACTAAAAGATAAGAAATTTAAAGAATTCACCTTGTTAAATGAACGATGATGAAGAGTGGATTGAACGGCCCACTCTGATGCCCTGGACGAAGCATAATGTGCTATGGTAGAATTCCAGTTTATTACCCCATTTGGGTCACTAGCTTGATCCATCCACAAGTGAGTTTCCACAGTGGATGCATCAACGAGGCGTCCCCCTGGAAGAGTTGCTGTAGAGGTCTCCTCTTTCTGGCTCCCACGAACAACTGTCCTAAGCTTTATAGTGCGATTACTTGTATCCACCAGGAAGTCTGAAAACAAGAAGGTACAATGATGATGAGAGCTCCCACTGTTTTTGTGTCAGAGACATGAGGTAATGAAATAACAACAACAATAATAATATTAATAAAGCCTGCCTTGGTGGGAGACAGCTGTTGAGTTAAAAAATTTTTTTTTTTTTTTAGCACACACACTGGCCATCTCCCACTAGGGTAGGGTGAACCAAAAGAAACACTTTCATTATCATTCACTCTATCACTGTCTTGCCAGAGGAATGCCGATACTACAGTTCAGATGCCCCTCCAAACTGCAAATATTTCTACCCCTCCTTCAGAGTGGAGGCACTGTACTCTCCACTTCCAGGACTCAAGTCCGGCTAACCGGTTTCCATGAATTTCTTTACAAAATGTTACCATGCTCACACTCCAACAGCTCATCAAGTCCCAAAAACAATTTGCCTCCATTCACTCTTATCTAACACACTCAAGCAAGCCTGCGGGATGTCCAAGCCCCTCACAAAAAACCTCATTTACCCCCTCCCTCCAACCTTTCCTAGGATGACCCCTACCCCACCTTCCCTCAATTGCAGATTTATACACCCTTCAAGTTACCCTATTTTGTTCCATCCTCTCTAAATATCCAAACTATCTCAACAACCCCTCCTCAGCACTCTAATCTCCAAGCTACGAATTCTCTGTATAATACTGACACCACACATTACTCTCAGACATGACATCTCCACTGATTCCAGTCTCCTCCTCGCTGCAACATTCACAACCCTTGCTTCACACCCATATAAGACTGTTGGTACCACTATATGTACTCTCATACATTCCCCATTTTGCCTCCAAGGATAATGTTCATTGCCTCCACAGATGCCTTAATGCACCATTCACCTTTTCCCACTCATTAATTCTATGGTTCACCTCGACTTTCATATACTCACCCGCTGAAAAAACCATTCCCAAATAGTATCTGAATACATTCACTTCCTCCATAATCCACCCTTTGAATCTGATATCCAGGCATTCATTGCCTTAATCATTTGTTACCATTATCACCTTGCTCTTTCCTATGGACATTTAATTTTCTTCCAATGCATACACTCCCAAATTCATCCACCAACCTTTGCAACTTCTCTTCAGAATCTCCCAAAAGCACATTGTCATCGGCATGAAGCAACTGTGACAACTCTCATTGTGTATTAGATTCTTCGTATTTTAATCCCATACATTACCCCAACACCCTAGCACTCACTTCTTTTGCAACCCCATCCATAAATAATTGAACAACCATGGTGATATCATGCATCCCTGTCTAAAGGCCTATTTTTTACAGGAAAATAATCTTCCTCTCTCCTATATACCCTAACCTGAGCCTCACTATCCTCATTAAAAAAAACTGTTAACTGCTTTCAGCAATCTACTATTTATTCCATACACTTGCAACATCTGCCACATTGCTTCCCTAACCACCCTATCATATGCCTTTTATAAATCCATGAATGCAACAGGTTAATAAGCCTGTTGCATTCCCTATAATTTTTACTCTCTCTCTTTTGTCCCCCTTTCTTTATGCATACTACTACTACTAATAATAATAATTAAAAAATACATAATTTTTACAAGAATAGGGTGAACAGTAATTTTTACTATTTTGAAAAATCCCTGGTTATGCAGAGCAGACTAAAACTAGAAATAACATTAAGTCGGACCAAAACACTGTCATAAGTTTCATTCTATGTGCGGGTTAAGTGTGTGGAATTAATGTCACTTAACCTTTAACCCTTTGACTGTTTCAGGCCCCTCTCTGAAACTGTCATTCTATGTCGCCAAATATTCAAAAAAAAAAAAAATTATTTTTTCTTATGAAAATGTTAAGATTATTTTTCTGAGTGTTTTAGTCCAAAAAAAAAATTTTTGCCATCGGTACTTACCGAGATATAGAGCCGTGAAGTTTGCAGAAAATGAGCCGCGTATGGCAACAGCGGCGACTGCCGCTCACCCGGTAAACTTTAGTTTACTTGTAATTGAAGGTTTTTTGTTTTTTTTCACTATTTTATTTTTTCACATAACTTATGTGGCCTATGAGACCAAAGTAAGGTGCAATGTATATATATACACTCGTTGTATACAACACAATAAGCACACAAACATAATTATCAATATATTGTTTACAAAACTTGTTTACAAAAACAAACAAACAATCATCCTCCTCCTCCTCCTCCTCCTTCTCATCCTCCTTCTCCTCCTCCTCCTTCTCCTTCTCCTCCTCCTCCTCCTTCTACTTCTCCTCCTCCTCCTTCTCCTCCTTCTCCTCCTCCTTCTCCTCCTCCTCCTTCTCCTCCTCCTTCTCCTTCTCTCTCTCCTTCTCCTCCTCCTTCTTCTCCTCCTCCTTCTCCTTCTTCTCCTCCTCCTTCTCCTTCTCCTTCTCCTCCTCCTCCTCCTCCTCCTCCTCCTCCTCCTCCTCCTCCTCCTCCTCCTCCTCCTTCTCCTTCTCCTTCTCCTTCTCCTCCTCCTCCTCCTCCTCCTTCTCCTCCTCCTTGTCTTGTGTGCGAGTGTGTGGCTTATAATTGTTTTGAGTCAGAAGTCGGCAGCTGTCAAAGTGACATATTGTCTCATTAGTCACTACCCCTACCGCCTGTCAAAACAATGGGGTCGGATGCTGCTTCCCCTCCTCCATTCTATCTAATTATCTTTCTCCCTCATTCTATATCTTTCAATCTGTCTCTCTTTCTATCTGTCTGCCTATCTCTGTCTCACAGGTACACATAAATACAAGTATACATAGTGTAAATTACCTAGGATAACCCAAGAAATCCAGACAAAGTGCTATACTCTGCTTGAAGATGTGAGTAAACGTGATGACACAGTCTTGTGGCTCTCTCTGAGACAGAGAGCTAGATGGACAGACAGGGAGCTTGACAGACAGACAAATAGACAGACAGAAATGTTTGTGTACCAGCAAAAACAAAGGGAGGGCGATGGTCATGTAATATTACCCTCCTTTACGCTCATCAAAGTCAGCTCTTATCAGATGTTATCTCCCCTTATCTTGTCACTGTCATGAGGTGGACTTTTTTTTTTCTTGCTTCAAGGGAACAATATTATTACATCTTCTTCTTCCTCCTCCTCCTCCTCTCCTCCTCCTCCTCCTCCTCCTCCTCTTCCTTCCCTCCTCCTCCTCCTCCTCCTCCTCCTCCTCTTCCTCCCCTCCTCCTCCTCCATTGCTTTTGGTCTCAAACTCCTCCAAATCATGAAATTGATCTTCACTGACACTTCCATCTGTGTTAGAGCATCACTTGGGAAGAGAAGAGTCCCAGATTTGCTGGGGAATCACATATTTCTTACCGCTAGACATGCTGAAAAATGACAACTGAAATGGCATTCCCACAATGCACCACTGGCTCCCCGATTTTTTTTATATGGTGCACACTGACCATGGAGACCCATTCTCTCACATGTGGGCCTACCAGCGTTCTCCTGCTTGATTTGAAGCTGCTAGAATTTATGCGTATAAATACGTCAGAAACATTGGCTCGTAAGACGTATTTATACGTCGGAAACAGTCAAAGGGTTAAACTGTCCAAACGCAGATCTATGTCCATGTGCATAGCACTCCAAACATAGATCTATGTTTCATTTTTCATTCCTTCAAAATTGGCATGAATGGCCTAAGATGCCTGGTCAGTATAGAATACATCTTAACACTCGGTGTGTGCAGTATTAAAAAAATCTGGGACCACTTAGTACCTTGTGGGAGCAATTGAGTGCCAGCTAGAGCAAATAGCATGGCAAACACTAGGGATTCACTGATGTCATGTTGTATTAACACTACCCTTTTAACCCTCTGACTGTCGCACGCCCCTTTCTGAAACTGTCATTTTGTCGAAATTTAAAAAAAAAAAAAAAAATCTTATGAAATGATAATCTTTTCCCAATGGTAATGACACCAAAAGTACAAAATTTAATTGAAAACTTATGGAATTAAGCTCCCATGAAGTTAGCGATCTCGGCGATACATACGCATTGGCGTTTTTGCTGACTTTGAGCCCTATTTTCGGCCAATTCCATTGTTCCAGTTGACCAAACTCATAGCTATTTCTTTAGAACTCCATTTTTTCTATCAGCTGTGTACAAGAAACTGCCCATTTACCGATTTCAACTACCCAATAAGTGGTCAGAAATTGAAAATTTGGCCAATTTCACACAAATTAAAAAAGATGCCAATTTCAAAATAGGGTCCAGAATAAACAATGCAGACATTCTTGGCACTAAAATAACATATCCTTTGTTCATTAGTAACATCTCTAGGCCCCTCTTATATTACTATTGCTTTCTATTTACTGTTATGCAGACTACTGTATTATTGTAAAACTGGCATAAATAATATCAGTGCACTACTGAAAGAATATTAGACTCCCCAGTTGACGTGTACTGGACGTGTGGTGTGATTTACTTACTCTTGAACATTGGTAAAAATCGAACATTTTTGCTATTTGAGCTCAATTTCAAGGTTGTTTTCATGGTGAAACTAATCAAAATCATTTCTATTTCTGTATTATGTTTTCCATTCTATCAAATGAGACCAAGAAAGCGAGAATACAACCATAAATACTATACGAAAATACACCTCAAAGTCGGTGTTTTAATCCAAAAACACGGTTGGAGTTTTCTTTTCTCATTATGCAATGCGTGCTGAAGTATTTTTTTTTGTACAGTGCACACTGACCACGCAGACCCATTCTCTCAAATCCTGCTTGATTTGAAGCCGCTAGAATTATCGAGTACACAGTGGACCCTCGCCTAAGGATATTAATCCGTTCTTGAGAGCTCAACGTTAGGTGAAATTATCGTTAGGCGAATTAATTTTCTCCATAAGAAATAATGGAAATCAAATTAATCCGTTCCTGACACCCCAAAGTACGAAAAAAAAATTTTTTACCACATAAAATATTAATTTTAATATACACAAACTGAAGAAGACATGTACAATTACATGACACCTACCTTTATTGAAGATCTGGTGATGA